GGTATTCCTTCTGATTTTGGCTTCTCCTCCTTTTTTTTGCTTCTCCTGTGACTGATGGCCTAGGCAGCCTTGGGCATGTCCTTAGCAATGCCCTGCAAACACTTCTAAGGGGTATTTTKGGGGGGGAAATCTGTTACAAAGGGGCGGAGGCCACACTGGCTCACTTCAAACTCAGTACCTGTGCCTCAGGTTCCCTCATTTGAATGCAGAAGTCAGCATCTTCTTCCTCCTGGTGCCACGGTGCCAGGGGACATCCCTGTCCCCAGCATCTGCCCACCTTGGAAGGAGCCAGATATGAGGGGAGTGAGGCAAAAATGGAGGAAAGACTTAAAAATGAAGGGGAAAATTCAAAAATTACAGAAAAGAGCAGATAATTCATGGTGGCCTGAGCCAGCTGTGTTCTGGCAGCCGCAGCAGGAGTGTCCCCTGCCCCGGTGGCATCTGTGCAGTGCCACCCAGAGCCATTCCCGTGCCCACCCTGCCAGCCTGGTTCCTGTTCCCCGTTCCCCCGGGTGCTACTGCAGGGAGCAAAGGGGAAGTGTTGCTCAATGGGGCCAGCACAGCACCCACGGGGGCACTGAGTGCCGGGCACAGCGGAGGGTCCCAGCACCCCGGGCACCCCAGCAGGTAAGGGGCACTCCCGGGTCCCCCCGGACCCCTCTTCCTGTCCCCAGTGTCCTTGGTGGTGCCCCTGTGAGGCTCCTGTGGGCGTTGCTTGGGTCCCAGGGAGGTTTGGGGGGTCCCAGGGAGGTTTGGGGGGACGCAGGGGAGGTTTGGGGGGTCCCGGGGCAAGTTTGGGGGACACAGGGGACAGGGAAGTTCACAGCCCTGGAGCACTCATGGGCTTGGAGGTTGCAGAGGGGTGGGCTGGGATTTCCTGGAGCCGGGGTGACAATGGGGTACAGTGGGGCACCCAGTGGGATGCAGGGTGGGGGCACAGTGGGGTGCTGGGGGATGTGGGCACTCAGTAAGGTGGGAGGAGCAGAATGGGGGCGCAGGGGGACTCAGTGGGGTAGCAGGGGCACAGGAGGCAGAGGCAGCAGCAGGGAGGGGATTCACGATCCCAGAGCACCCCTAAAACTGTCCCCAACACTGACACCACGGCTGGGCTGTGCTCCGGGCACTGGTGAATCCCCAGACACCTGAAATGGGGTGGCACAAGCTGACGGGGAGCGGCCCCACGCGTGTCCCTCCCCAGTGCCCTGTGCCTCACGCTCCTGGCTGCAGCCTGAGCCCCTGCTCCCTGCCTCAGTTTACCTTTCCCAAGCAGCGTAGCCCCCGCTTGCAGGCGGGTTTGTCCCCAGGGCTGCAGCCACAGGGGTGGCGGGCACGGAGCGAGGGCAGGAGGGAGAAGCGGCTCCGCCGGGCACGAGTGGCACCCACGGGGGGAGCGCCGAGAGGGGCCAGGGCTCTCGTGGGGCTGTGGGACCGCATCTCTCACGCTCCGAGGAAAGCACGCTCCTTGCCCTGCTCGGAGCAGCCCAGAGACCACAAAAATAAAAACCCCTGGGGCCGCTGTGACCGTCCCAGTTGCCGGGTGAAGGGACCCCCGAGGGTCGGCGGGTGGCACCTCCGGGAGCGAGCCCTGCTGGCCGCGGGGCTCTGGCACCCCCTGCAGAGGAGCAGGGAGCCGTGCCGGCGGCCAGCGCCGCGTCCTGCCGCAATTTCCTCTGCCGGAGGGGCACGGCAGCGCCGTGGTCTTGTGCAAACCCTCCCTGGAGGATAAATGTCAGGGGAAGTGGCGCTGGGATGGCGGCAAGCATGGCCACCACGCTGTCCTGTGTGGCACCRGCCCGTGCCGTCCGTCCCACTCTCCACCTTCCTGTTAAATCCACTGTCCTGGTTTGGAATCACGGAATCACAGCAGGGTCTGGCTGGAAGGAACCCTAAAGGTTCATTCCAACCCCTGCCATGGGCAGGGACACCTTCCACTGTCCCAGGGTGCTCCAAACCCCAATGTCCAGCCTGGCCTTGGACGCTGCCAGAGATCCAGGGATGTCACAGCTTCTCTGAGCACCCCCAGCTCTCCCAGCCTGGCTTCAGAGGGKTCCATYMCTTGRAGCAGCTCCKKGTTCTCCTCTGRKCTCTCTCCAGCAGCTCCAGCTCCTTCTGCTGTTGGCCCCAGGGCTGGGGCAGCTCTGCAGGTGGAGACTCACCTGAGCACAGGGACAGAATGCTCCCTCCCCTRCTGCCCASGCTGGGGGATCAGCTCAGGGCATGAGGGTCTGTGGGTGCCACTGCACTTGGCAGGGTCATGCCCTCTCATCCCCCAACACCCTCAAATCCCCCTCCCCAGGGCTGCTCTCCATCCCTTCACCGCCAGCTTGTGTGGACACTGGGGGTTGCCACAGCCACAGAGCCCCGGTCCAGGTCCATCATGCGAGGGCACRTATGGCACCCCACAGAGGAGCCACCAGTTGTCCCCTCTGCCATTCACAGATCCCGCCGAGAGCCCACGCCGGCGAAGATCCCACGGAGGGTYCGGAGAGGACGGTGACGGGTGGCACCGCCACCATGGCCAACCTGACGGCCCTGGTGAGCGCGGGCAGGAACTCGTGCACGTACCACGAGGAGTTCAAGCAGGTGCTGCTGCCCCTGGTGTACTCGCTGGTGTTCGTGCTGGGGCTGCCSCTCAACGCCGTGGTCATCGGGCAGATCTGGCTGTCGCGGAAGGCGCTGAGCCGCACCATGATCTACATGCTCAACCTGGCCGTGGCCGACCTGCTSTACGTGTGCTCGCTGCCACTGCTCATCTACAACTACACGCAGAGGGACTACTGGCCCTTCGGGGACTTCACCTGCAAGCTGGTGCGCTTCCAGTTCTACACCAACCTGCAYGGCAGCATCTTCTTCCTCACCTGCATCAGCGTCCAGCGCTACCTGGGCATCTGCCACCCGCTGGCCTCGTGGCACAAGAAGAAGGGMAAGAAGCTGACGTGGCTGGCGTGCGGCGCCGTGTGGTTCGTCGTGGTGGCCCAGTGCCTGCCCACCTTCGTCTTCGCCTCCACGGGCACGCAGAGGAACCGCACGGTGTGCTACGACCTGAGCCCGCCCGACCGCTCGGCCGCCTACTTCCCGTACGGCATCACCCTCACCTTCACCGGCTTCCTGCTGCCCTTCGTGGCCATCCTGGCCTGCTACTGCAGCATGGCACGTATCCTGTGCCAGAAGGACGAGCTCATCGGCCTGGCCGTGCACAAGAGGAAGGACAAGGCCGTGCGTATGGTCATCATCGTGGTCATCGTCTTCTCCATCAGCTTCTTCCCCTTCCACCTCACCAAGACCATCTACCTGATCGTGCGTTCATCGCCCGGCCTGCCCTGCCCGGCCCTGCAGGCCTTCGCCATCGCCTACAAGTGCACGCGGCCCTTCGCCAGCATGAACAGCGTCCTCGACCCCATCCTCTTCTACTTCACGCAACGCAAGTTCCGCGAGAGCACCCGCTACCTCCTGGACAAGGTGAGCTCCAAGTGGCGGCAGGACCACTGCGTCACCTACGGCTCCTAGGCCAGGCCACAGCCACCTCGGGGCCACCGAGGCACGGAGCGCTTTGGGCTCTGAGCTCCGCAGAACAGCAATGGCTTCACTGGGGACGTGCTGGAGGACAGGGGGATGGCATCTCCCAGGCTTTCAGCACCGAGATCCCATTTCCAGCAGCACACCGTTAACCCCATGTCGGGATTGCCCCCGATCTGCTCTCCTCTCCCCAGCTCGGCTGCTCACTTGGAGCAGCTCAGCATCTTGGTGGTCAAGCCATCGATGAAAAAAACCTACTGGGACTGTGGAGAGAAAGATGGGACCGTGGAGAGCAAGATGRGACCGTGGAGGACACATCCCTGGCTCAGGATGAGCTGCTGGGGGAGGATTTCTCCCCCCACTCCATGAGAAATTCCCGGATGGGGATGTGCAAAACCTGGGAAGGGGTTGGCTCAGCCCAGACCATGGGGCCCTGTGGTCCCCAGCTCACGATGAGTGTCACAGATGGTTTTGGTGTAACATCGGGACATCCCAGTCCCCCAGAGCCCAGAATGAGGCCACACCAGTAAGAGACGGGGGCTCACTGGTGTTGCTGGTGCTGCAGAATGGTGGAGGGGCACCCCTGGATGGGCTGGGAACAGGGAAAGGATGTGAGAGCACCTGGAACCCTTTGGTGGGTGTCCCATCAAAGCAATGACGCTGGGCTGGGTCAGGCACAAACCCACGGCATTGTCACCTGCCTGGGGACCTTCATCTGATTCCAGCTCCCTGCTTAGCCCAGCACCCCAAATCTGGCCTGTCCTGGTGTCCGTGGTGCCCTGCAGTCAGCTCCTCACCAGGACCCACCAAAGTCAGAGCCMGCACATGAGGACACAGTGCCTGGAGCCAGGAAACCTGTGCCACAGAGAGCTGCTCGATGTCCTTGGCCGTGTCACCGCGTGTCACACGGCTGGCTTGGCCTCTCCACACTGCTGGGGATTGAGCTTTGCTCCCCCAGGCTCTGCTGGGATGCTGCTCCCTCACAGCGAGGAGGGATTTGCGGGGTGGATGCACCACTCCTGGCTCTGGAGCCTTCTCCAACATATAGAATGTATGTATAGAATTAACTGCCTGAGATGGGTGCACACACCCACTGTATGCACAGACACAGAATAGATCCCAGCAGAGTGAGGCTTGAGGCCAGCACGGGCTCTGCAGTGCAGAAATTCCCTGCCTGAACACAATACATGTACCTATACAATGTGTGTATATAAATATATATGTGGATAACTGCATTTTGCATGTCTGCTATAATAATCACATCTGAGTTGATTTAAGTGCTTTATTTCAAATCTCCAGGGCTGAGCACCCCCCAGCTTGGCTGTCTGCACCTGGCTTRGGGTGCAACTCTATCCTGACTTGCTCGCTGCAGGTTCACAGTGTCTCCTTTAGGTACCCGGCCACCCAAGACCTCGCCATCATCCAGTGCTGGTGGCCCCAGCATGGCTCCTCGCTGCCATGAGGATGATGAAGGTGTCCAAAGCGGGCACAGGATGGTGCTCAGAGATGTCAGCATCACGGCTGGGCTCKAATGGGGGGGGGACCCTGAGGCAGCATTAGCTCAAAGCACCCGATTTTGCAGGAGCCGTGTCCCCGTCCTGATGGTGACAATGACTCTGGGCTGGGGCTCCGAACGTACTGGAGGAGGCACAGGCAGCCCTGTGCTTTCCCTTGGCAGAGCTCATCCACACCAAAATCCACTCTGGTGAATCTTTGGGGTCCTACAATGGAAGGGGGAAATCCTGGGGTGGCTCCCAGAGCGGTGGCTGGAGGGACAACCCCAGCCTGGTGTCCCCATCTGTTCCCAGACAGGAGGTGACAGGGCGGGAGGGCCGGGCCACGCCATCCGGACCCAGGAGAGGGCGCAAAATATTTAGATTTGGAGAAATCCGGCTGTGCCTGTGGGTGTCCACCTGGCTCCAGGGAGGGAGGGAGGAGCCCTGCACCACCCCAGCGCCTGGTGCCTGGACGGGACCCATGGGACCGGGTGGAAATGGAGCCACGATAGAGCTCTGAGGGGGAAAAATAATCCAGCAGCTTCCAAAAAGTCTGGTGGTKGCTGCAGGGGCCGCGTGGGCTCGGGTGGTAGCATCCAGTGGCCTCAGGATGATGTTCCTGATGTTGGAATCAGCAGTTTTGAACATTTTTAAGAGTAGGGGACACACAGGGCTCTCTTTGGGTCTCACCATGTCCTGCCCACCCTTGGGGTCCTGTCAGCAATTCCCTTGGCACCCACCCCAGAAGCCATGGCAATAATGGGATGCCTCAGAAATGGGGTGAACACCTCAAAAATCTCCTTTGCTTGCGAGATGCTCAAAGCCAGCAGCTGAGAAACAGCTCCTACAACACCGAGTGGGGATGAAATGCATCTTCCCAAAATGCCAGGAGCGGGGGACAGCACGGGGACGTCATCCTTGCCACCAGGAGACACCCAGGCCTGGGGGAAGTAGGGAAGCAGGGCCGAGGGTGGGAMGGGAGAGCCGGGGAAGGAATACTTGCTGGGGCGGTGCATCTCACGGCATCACTGGAGGCGCTTTTTAGGTCCTGAAAAATGCATTTACAGGAGGTGTTGGATTTTTTTTCCATTTTTTTTTTTTGTGCCTCAAGGTCAGAGCCAGAAATGTCCTCTACGTGGCCAGGAGACATCTGCAGCCCCATCCATGCTGCCAAGGCCACAGCTCACCCACCAGCCATCCCAGCCACCTTCATTTTTCACATCCCCAGAGATAAATCTGCTGTCTTGGGGGAAAAAAAGGGTTATAGGCTGCAAATAGCAAGCGCTGACAAGCGATGCTGAAAACCCACGAGGACGTCTGTTCACGGGGCAGTGCTTCGCTGGAGAGCTTGGCAAGCTGGGAACAAGGTGTTCTCTCTTCCCTCAGAGGAGCTGCAAAGCAGGCTCTGGAGAAATCCGCTGCAAAGGGAAGAATCTCCCGCTGGCACCCACATTTTGCTTACTTATCCTCTTTGCCTTTGAAAATAAAAAGCTGGGAAGAGTGGGAGAGAATCACAGAATGGTTTGGGAGGGACCTTAAAGGTCATTTAATTCCAACACCCTGCCATGGGCAGAGGCACCTTCCGCTATCCCAGGCTGCTCCCAGTGCCACTCAGCCTGGCCTTGGGCACTTCCAGGGATGGGGCAGTCACAGCTTCACCCTGTGCCAGGGCCTCACCACCCTCACGAGGAAGAATTTCTCCCCAATATCCATTTTAAATCTCCCCTATTTTAGTTTACAGCTGTTTCCCCTCATCCCATTACCATCTGCCCCTGTAAAAAGTTTCTCTCTCATTTTTAATAAGCCCCCTTATCCAAGGGAAAGGGAGTGAAGGATGCTGGGGGTGGGGGCAGTGGAAGAAAGGATGCAGGGGGTGATGAAGGATGCAGGAGGGGGGTGAAAGGTGCAGGGGGTGCGAGGTGCTCCTTCTCAGCCTGGGAGCGAGAGGGCACCTCTAAAGCCGCCTTCCTGTCTCCCCCCTCCCCT